AGATTCGAGTAGATTTGAATAGTATTTTTTCTGGAACAAAACACCTACTCAAATCAAGGACCCCATATTGAAAAATTTGTTTTTTTTTTCTGTCTGAAGATGTGTAATACAAAATGGTAATTTCTTTGTTTATTTAAACAATTCAAATCAAAGTATGAGTTTTAAAATAAAATTGAGACTTTTTAAGATTGTCAGTTAAAATCAAAGTGAGGAAATTCAAAATCTACGATTAAACAAAATCTTTTATTAAAGAATTCGAAGTTTTATAAAAATATCAAAATTTTCGTTCAGATTTCAAAGGATTTTCATAGAGGCAATGTCAAAATAGCCAGTTGAAAAATTGTTGATTTTACTTAAATTACTTTATTTTTCAAAATACTGTTGTCATTTTCTGAGAAATAAGAGAATAAAAAGCTTGTAAAAAGGATTCTGATAAGCTCAAAAGATAGCAAAAAATCAATAATTAATGATCATTACAATTATTGAGTTTGTCTACATTCAAAATTTGCTGTTAGAATCTTAAACGTTGCTTTTAAAGCGATAAATCCATGAAATTAGTGAAAATATTTTTTTCATCAAAATTATCTATTATAATATCTCCGAACATGTTTATACTGTTCAACAATCTAATGTCAAAGAATTGGATTTTGACATTGCCACTCTCTGGATTTTCATTATAAAATTTTATTTTTGTTTCACGAGTTGAACGGATTTATTTTATATGCACACCGTTTTCACGTGTGAATCTATTGGTTTTGTTCAGATTGAAAAATCAGTTTTTCGCGTTTTGTGAGAAAACGAATCGAAATTGGTTATAAAATGTCCCAGAAGAAAAGTTTGTGTATGAAATTTTACATCATTTGCGAAAAAAAAAACAGATTTCAAATTGGTTGTGGCATTGCTGAGAAAATCGCAAAATACGCTTTATGTAAGCAAGCAAACAAGCAAACAAGCATGCAAGTTAATCAGCAAGAAATCTCAATAACGAGACATTGTACAGACTTCTAGTTTCAGGTACGAGATGGAACTGGAACTGCCACAAGTCTAAACTGACAGATTGGACATTAATAGTTTCATCAGATTTAAGCTTCTGAGAAAAAGTAGACGTGTTTTGATGTACAACATGATAAGTTTTTGAAAGGAAAAAAGTATTGGGCCACAGGTAGTACTGTCCAAAACTTTGATAGTCCATAACTCTTGCTGGTTATATCCAATTCCAAATTTTTGTGGGACGAAATTGGACGTAATTAGGAGATCAGTTTTGATACATAATATGCATGATTAAAATTAATTTCGTAATTGGTTCCCGCTGTAAAAGTGAAGTTAGCGGGAAAGATACCCAAATAATAAAAGTGGTATATCCAGTCATAGGAAGTAGGACAAAAATATTTAAATGCGGGACGTAAATGGACGTAATATGGACGTAATTCTGACTAAGTTTCAACTCGATCTGAGAACCTGTTCCCGCTGACTTCACACACACACTCAAATTTAAACTTTATTTTTCATGTGGGTTAATTCACTATCTACTAGAATTCCATAGAATAGTTTTCCAAAGACATAATTTTCCAATATTTTTTAAATTTTTAAAGTAATAAATATTTTATAAACGATTTTCATTATTTTAGATAAAATGAATTTTAAAAACAAACTAGTGTATCGGTAGAAACCCAATGCGGCCATATTCACACCGTACCATCAAAAGTCTTATGGATAAACCAAGATTAGCTCAGCATAAGTTAAAAGATATAAAGCTAGCGAGTCAGCTAAGCTTTGCTGAGCATATGTTGGAAGGTTTAAAGTTTAACGAACATTCTTTAAAAGTTTTTTTAAAAATTTTTTTCATCCAAAGTTTAATTATATAAAAATCACAGTGAACATTTGTTTTAAAAAATTCGTAAGAAAGGAAAGTTTTTTCTGAAGCAACGCCTGTTTCTACCTAGCCCAAAAACAATACAGCTCTTCTAAAGAGCAGCACGGATCAAATGTAAAAAACTAGAAGTCTGTACAATGTCTCGTTATTGAGATTTCTTGCTGATTAACTTGCATGCTTGTTTGCTTGTTTGCTTGCTTACATAAAGCGTATTTTGCGATTTTCTCAGCAATGCCACAACCAATTTGAAATCTGTTTTTTTTTCGCAAATGATGTAAAATTTCATGCACAAACTTTTCTTCTGGGACATTTTATAACCAATTTCGATTCGTTTTCTCACAAAACGCGAAAAACTGATTTTTCAATCTGAACAAAACCAATAGATTCACACGTGAAAACGGTGTGCATATAAAATAAATCCGTTCAACTCGTGAAACAAAAATAAAATTTTATAATGAAAATCCAGAGAGTGGCAATGTCAAAATCCAATTCTTTGACATTAGATTGTTGAACAGTATAAACATGTTCGGAGATATTATAATAGATAATTTTGATGAAAAAAATATTTTCACTAATTTCATGGATTTATCGCTTTAAAAGCAACGTTTAAGATTCTAACAGCAAATTTTGAATGTAGACAAACTCAATAATTGTAATGATCATTAATTATTGATTTTTTGCTATCTTTTGAGCTTATCAGAATCCTTTTTACAAGCTTTTTATTCTCTTATTTCTCAGAAAATGACAACAGTATTTTGAAAAATAAAGTAATTTAAGTAAAATCAACAATTTTTCAACTGGCTATTTTGACATTGCCTCTATGAAAATCCTTTGAAATCTGAACGAAAATTTTGATATTTTTATAAAACTTCGAATTCTTTAATAAAAGATTTTGTTTAATCGTAGATTTTGAATTTCCTCACTTTGATTTTAACTGACAATCTTAAAAAGTCTCAATTTTATTTTAAAACTCATACTTTGATTTGAATTGTTTAAATAAACAAAGAAATTACCATTTTGTATTACACATCTTCAGACAGAAAAAAAAAACAAATTTTTCAATATGGGGTCCTTGATTTGAGTAGGTGTTTTGTTCCAGAAAAAATACTATTCAAATCTACTCGAATCTAGGACCCATAGTATAAGTCAACGAAATTTTTTTCCGTTATTCTTTCAAAAATTTCAATTTCACGCACTTTTTAATGAGTTTTTCAAAATTGCTTTATTAGATGTCTAGTAATTTTAAAACAATTTAAAAAACTAAAACACACGAAATAAAGTTTAAATTCGTGGAATAGATTTTAATTCAAAATGTAAACAAATTATTTTTCCGACTTCGAAGAATAAAGGGCCAAATATCAAAAAATGATGGACCGTTGTCCTACGTTGGCATATTTTTATCTAGTTTATAAGATTAAGTTTTGAATACAATATTGTAAAATTGTTGAAATTGTTAAATACCTTTTTGTATGAAGAACTTGTTTAAATTGATACTTATATTTTTAGAAAAAAATTCTAGTAGATAGTAAATTAACCCACATGAAAAATAAAGTTTAAATTTGACAATTTTATGAAAAGCAATTAAATATGTTACAACTTTTTTTACCTGATCAATATTTTGTTGTAATGTTTTGCACAAAAAGACAATAAGTACACTAAGAAATATAGGTGAATTAAATATCTCACTGTGAGGTAATAAATCCACTTACGATTTCAAGTGATCTTATTGCCTCATAGTGAGATATTAAAGACGAATCCTAAAAATGTTGCGGATTTATTAACTTCAAGTGAAGACAAAAATCCCACATACAAATGAAAGTGATTTTTTTACCCGCACGTGAAAATAATTATTTCACCTTAAATTTTAATTTTGTCTAAGTGGACTTATTGTATTGCAGTGAAAATATTAAGACCACTTGAAAAATTAAAATTTTATAAGTGGCCTTATTGTCTCTCCCTGATTTTTCATTTTTCGGGTTTATTATCCTCTAGTGTTGTGGACTTATTATTTTTCGGTGCAATTGTCTAGCTCCCGAAATTAACTGTCTCCAAATTATTTCACAAAAATAATTGGATAATATAAAGTCTAGAGCAATAAAGTGCAATTAATAACATTAGTATTTGATGAACTTTTTTATGTAACCGTTAATTTTATCAAATAAGAACATTAGTAAAAGATATTCAAATTAAGATAGTGAATATATTATATTGAAAACCAGATTGGACATAGGGGCCATTCACTTATTACGTAACGCTTTTAGGGGAGGGGGGGGGGGTCTAAGATTTTGTTACGATTCAAACAAGGAAATTTTTTTTTCATACAAATTTTGTTACGACGGGGGGGGGGGGGGGGGGGGTCTAAGAAGTCATTTTTTCGCGTTACGTAATAAGTGAACAGCCCCATATCTAATTTTAGGCAAATATTATAGACGATACTCTAAATGTCGAGAAACTGAAAAACTTCAAAAAGAGACTTGCATGATTCATTAATATTCTTAAACATAAAACTTTTGCCGAGAAGGATTTCTGAATAAGTTTATTATTATTTTTTTTTTGTTTATTCAATCCAGATCCACAAATTCAGAAATAGACAGTACATAATTTAAAACTAGACGAAAGCTAGACTAAAGATTGACTTATCGTTAGAGTCCACTAAATCAATGGTATAAAAAGAGGAGAAGTCACCTTAACTTTAACATCATAAATGAACCAGAAAAACAGTTTATTTTATGCTGTTTAATAAGCTGACTGCCACGAGAATAGCAACAAAAATAACAACAATAAACATACAACAACAAAAATATAGCAAGCAAAGAAGAGAAGTGAACTGTGTGTATTTTTCACCTTTTATGGTTTATAACTTAGAACTACCGTTGGAGGATTATTTCGTGTCGAGACGTGTTATTTCTCTTGCATAAATATAAATAAATCATTGCATATCCTGTCTCCATTTGTCATCAAAAAGAAAAGCCTTCTTGGAATTATAATTTTTCACTTGTCAATCATATAATAAGAACAAAGATATTATTCCAGTCAATAAATTAAATTTGGATTTACGAAGCTAGCTATTAGCAATAAAAATTAGTTCACCATTACAGCGAACGGTGAGAAAAGTGATCATAAAAAAATGGTAAAGACATTTCAACAATATTTGCCAGAGACTAATCGAACGTATTCGTGCGTGCATTGTAGAGCTCATTTAGCGTCGCACGATGAGTTGATCTCCAAATCCTTTCAAGGAAGCCAGGGGCGTGCTTACTTATTCAATTCTGTGTAAGTATTTTAATGATAATAGCAATACTTCTCTGGTTTAAAAGGTTCTCGGTTCGTTTAATCATTCTTTCATTCAAATTGGATAGAAATAATCAATGAAAATGCTTTGTTTATTCCACAATCGATAATATTCTTAATGAACATTAAATGAGTTGAAATCTCGAGTAATTATTATAATTGGATCAAGTCTAATCCAATTGCCATACCTTAAAAAAAGTTTCACAGCTAGTTATAATAATTTTTCTATTTCGATTACTATAGAGTTAATGTGGCTTGTGGGCAAGCTGAGGAACGAGTACTTTTGACAGGCCTGCACGCTGTAGCTGACATTTATTGTGAGTGTTGTAAGACACCTTTAGGCTGGAAATATGTAAGTTAATATTTTTGTGCTTTCTTTTTTTTTGATCACTTTTTTTTGTATCTGCTTTTGTCTCATTTACCATATAGGAACATGCATTCGAGTCGAGTCAGAAATACAAAGAAGGCAAATACATAATCGAATTGGCACACATGATCAAAGAAAACAAATGGGATTGATCGCCGAGCGACAAACATCAATTAGCTTCAATTTTATTAAGAAAATTAGTGATGAAGAAATATGGGCTATAATCCCTTATTAATTAACAGAATATGTTCTTTTTGGGATATGTTATATGAGTAAAAAAAAGAAAACATTTTATTTTATTATTTACAATAACCTATGTGCAACGAGAAATGATGCCACAACCACACGATGATCTACTTAGCATTAAAAATGTGATTTTACATTTACATGTTTAATTTGCATCTCTGTGAATTATTATTACTCACCGACTTTATCTCCATCTCCATCTCTTCATCAAAACTCATCTTAACAATTCAGGCATTTTACTATTAATTTCGTGTATATATAATCTTGAATGTCAAGTGAATCAAACTTTGAGTAAATTTTCTTTTTGGGTTACGAAATTCTTTTGTTAACATTTTTGAAGATTGTCATTCCATATACAGCGTTAGCGACATGTAAGTTTAGGTCATAATAAGTGTTGTTTTTTAAACAACAGATTACTACCTAGCAAAACCTGAACCTTACTATCTGCGAAGAAAAACATACTAGATAAAGTGATTGTCTGACATCACATACGATCTCGAAAAAATATCTTTGATCTCTATTTGTTTAGCCAGGAATTAACAGTACTGCAAGTCTAACAATAACTTATTTATCTATCATTGCTTGACATGACAGTGATAAAGATACAGTTAAAGATAATTCCTGCTTCCGTATTAAACAGCTTTTGCGTAGTAATGGGTCAATGTACTTTATGGGATCAAAATAATGTGGATTTCTTCAAAGATCAGTTTTTGAACTTGCTGATTTTAATATGTAGATAGCTACAAAATATAAACGGGAGAAATTTTTGAGATTGTGCATTAGGTTTATTGATGAAAATTATTTTTAATTTTTAAACAATTTAAATTGAAAGCTATTGTAAAACACGAGAAAACTTGAAAACAATCTAAAATCTTAAAAATTTAAGCAAAAATGTCTGTTATATTGAACTTTTTTCAAGTTTTCTTATTTCATACTCAAAAGGGTTAAAGTTCTGTTTAAAAAATTATTTAAAAATTGTGTCCAGCAATATATACCGTTGGATGCACAATCCAAATTGCAACATTGCTCTTTGATAGAACGAACTTTGCTCAGTTTAATGATTCGTAGTTTCCGACAGTTTTAAAGAATATGTATCACAATTAGCAATAAAATGAATTGCGCTTCTAGTGGACATAGATTTGTGTAGCTTAGAACTTTCAAGCATTCGGTTGACTATTTTTATTTATCCAAAACAGGAAATTTAGGATAAAGTAATGGATGAAGAGATAAAATTAAATTGTTAAGGGAGATAAAAATTCTTCATGCATATAAAAATAACGATGGTGCTCTGAATCTTTTTATCGCAAATTATTTTAATTTTTTTCAAAAATTTCTAATAAAAATAATACGACTACAATGTAATTTATTTATTTAATCGTTTATGCATCATGACCCCTATATTGATTAAAATTTTATTGCAATCCTCACGGGATTTTTTTTAATGAGCACTAAATTAATGAGATTCCATGTGAGTGTGTTACACCGGCAAACTTCAAATGTCAAGAAAATTGAAAAGGAAACCCTTAAAATTACTATAAAATTTGAGAAACAAAAGTTGATAGAAAAACGAAGAAAAAAAGTGAAAAATAGTATATTGCTAGTGATAAATTTTTTGATACTAAACTAAGCTGATAAAAATATAGAAAAGAAGGAAAAAATCTTTTACTTCAAGACTTTGTCTGTCATCATCATTGTGTTTCTTGATGTTGCGATAAAAAAATAAGGAACTTTATTAGGATTAAATATACACTAATATTATATATTTAATAGTCCAATTAATTATTGCTTATGGTTTTTAAAAATATTCTAAGTGGTTCAAATTGTTTGAAGAGTTTTTTCTTTAAAATAACATTAATTGGATCAAGTTTTTTGGTAAAATCAATCCTTAAAAAAAAAGCTAATGCAAGTGCAGTAAATATGATAATAATGAGTTAACCATAAAAGGTCAAATCCATTTCAACCACTCAAATCTGCTCAGTAAAAAAGAAACAAAACATAAAGTCATTAACATCGATGACATTTTTTTTAATATTGAGAAGTGTACTGCCAAAATTTTTTTAATAGACGAGATCTAATAAACAAACAATACCTAGTTGAGTTGTTTTAAATCATTTTTAAAAACCAAAGTCCAAAATTTAAAGAAGAAATAGAATTTTGAAAAAAATTGGATATTCATACACAGATACAAAAAAAACTTAATAGAAAAGCTCAAGGAAACAGAGAGATTTATTTAAATTACGGAGATGCCGATCCCGGGTGGACACAGCCAGTTAAAGTCCATTATTGGACAATCATTTAACAGTCTTTTAACTTGTCGAAATATATACGACATAGAGAACTATACGTTAACTAGACTTTAACTGGACATTCATGCTAATCAATCAAGTGTTCGAAACTCAAAAATAATTTTCCTTACTTTTTTGACCATATACTTCACAAGCGCTTACAGAAATCACTTATATAAGGTCCACCAAAATTTGTATGAAACTTTTAAGTAAATATACCTAATTGTTTCACGCGCAAGTGTTCGAGACTCAATTTTTACAAGAGATTTTTCATAAGTGATAGTGTACTTTAATTAATTAATTACACTAATACAATAATAAAATTTTACAAAAGAAAAAAATATGGAGAAAAAGACACGTGTTATTTATTTTATTTCGATTTTTTTGTAACTGGACATTAACTAGACATATTTGCAATTCCTATGTCCAGTTAAATGGAAAGCGCAAAATATGTCATTAGTCGTCCCTAAGTCTAGTTGCAAAGGCACGTCAATGGATACTTACTCGCCGTGAAAAGGCAAGTCAATGGCAAGCTTTTAACTAGTACTTTGTCCACTCGGGGATGTAATCAATTATTCGTGATTATAAAAGCTATCTGTTCGAAACTGAATGTTATTCATACAAAATATAAGTGATACACTTTAAAGCACAATAAAAAAATTATTAGGAACAAAAAGATAGAAAAAATACCTTCAAATTCAAATGCTTTTTTAACCTTGAGCTTTTGACGTACATATTTAAACATTCTTACCTATTGAAGTTGATTGAAAATGGATCGAGCTGTTTTAGTAAGACAATTATTAAGACAATTTTAAAAATTTGTGTGTCCGAAAACCTTACTTGGTTCTTTAACAAATAAAAATAAACTGCTTTCATTTGCTGCAAAAAAAAAATTTTACATTCTAAAAAATTTTAGATGGCAAGAAATTGACAGCATATGTAACATTAGTAATTTAATAAGGTTTGCTGTAAAGCTATTTCAGCATTAAATAATAAACAGAATTTTGTGATAAATACCCAAGTTTTGAGTTTTTTTTTATAAAAGAAAAAGCTTTTTTAAGTAGTAAGAATCCGTAAGAATATGTCTGTTAACAGGAAAGCGGACCCTTCATACGTTTTTTTTTGATTAAGTAAGGAAGCAGCATTAAAATTTTAAATGTCTAAATGAGTGGTGTTTACGTAGCAGTTCTTTAGCGCTCAAAATAGCATAAAGGATAATGACTACTTTTATATGATTAAAAAATTGCAAAAGTCCTCGTGTTTTGTTATCAAGTGACTTTAGCACATTTTTGACGCAGCGATCAGTATTTTTTAGCAACAAAATGCGAGTCAATAAGTAAATAGCTCTAAATGTTTGCCTTTACAAAGCTTTCGGGCTGTATTTTGCAAATATTAAACATTAGGTACAGTTAAAAACTTCTTGTAAATTTCCCGAATTTTTTTTTTAAGTTAATAAATCTATTTTCACAAAACAAAGCTCTTGAATTCAACAGGATGTGTCATTTAACATTTTTCTTGAGATTCAGTTGATTTAGCGATAAAAATAAATTTATCAGATGTTTTTCATAAAGCTAAAATAAAAAAAAAACATTAATTATAGTATAAATACACTGTTTCAAGACTCGTAACTACCCGACCCCGAAAAAACACGATTTAACTGAAATGAGAAATGAGTTTCAAAAATGTGCTAAAAATATGATAAATGGATATGGATTCAGAAAAAAAGAAAATTAATGGAGGATTGAAAAGAAGTAAAGAATTATAATTTTAAAGTATCTAGTTTTAAAGCGTGTAATGTGATAGTAACAACTAATGAAAAAAGTAATCTGTAGCTTATAAGCAACACAATTTCAATTTAATTTTTATACATATAATTTTAATTTATGAAATAGACGAAAAAGATTTAAAATCTTCTTTAAGTTTCCTTTTTTTTATTTCTAGAATATTAAAAATAATGTTAATCATTCTTTGTATTAATTCACATAAAGTCGTTCTTCTTTTTACAATAAGAACACTGTAGACAGCAAAAAGTATAGCAAGAACAAAGAAAAGTTAAAAATGTATTAAGAAGTTCGATGAACGTTTTTATTTGATTTAATTTGGAAGAACATACAAGTGGTGATTATTTGGGAAATGAGACTTAATGAGTTTATAAGTGACGTCTAACATTTATTGATGAGGGTAGGTTTTAAAGGTTGATTTTTATAGAGAAAAACTAGAGTGAGGTGTGGAGGAATGGTATATATTTTTATAATGTTGGGTCTGAAAAAACCATTTAAAACCAGACATCATTTATAAATTATTTTTCGGATCAATTAACGTTCAGATTAACTTTTGTGTTTTAGAATGAATGAGGATCTTAAAAGGTTTGAAATAAATATTGTTTCATAAAAAAATGCTTTTCTATAATAAATGTTAAATGAATAATAATTGTGTAATGATTTTTTTTTTATTATTTTTTGGTGGTCCTCGGTTTAAACCAGAGATCGAAGCCGATTTTTTCGGCTTAACTCAATTTTTGACTTTTTTGATAGAAAAAAGCCATTTAACACCCATTTCAAGTATTTAAATTGAACTTTACATGCTTTACTATGATTCTGTGTAATATTTTGTCAGCATGTAGCTATAGGAAGCTCAGAATTTCAATTTAGTCGATAATAAGCCGATCGGCTTAAATTTCGGCTTAACATTCTTTAACTTGAAATTCTGAGCTTCCTATAGCTACATGCTGACAAAATAATTCGAAGAATCATAGTAAAGCATGTAAAGTTCAATTTAGCTACTTGAAATGGGTGTTAAATGGCTTTTTTCTATCAAAAAAATCAAAAATTGAGTTAAGCCGAAAAAATCGGCTTCGATCTCTGGTTTAAACAATTTTTAAAATAATAATTTAAATCGTGGACTATCTTAATATTGAACTATATAGAACAAAATTATAAATGCCGGAAAATGTCTTTTCCTGGAGTAGGTAAATAAACACGGAAAATGTTTATATAAAATTATTAATTAATAAAGAAAATGTAAAATTTTGTGAAAAAAACAAAAAAAACCAACCTTTTTATTCTTCTTTCATCTACAAACTACAATTATTGATTTCGTTTTTTTTGTTCATATTTTTTTCTTTTCCAACTGTATCTCTCTATTACACTCCCTTATAGCACTATTTTTGTTTGTGCACGTGCTGAGAATGTTGTCAAGGTTTTGATGTGTAGTGTTAAAAGGAAAAAAAATCGTTGCTTAGCAGGCTTTTAAAAACAATACAAATAAAAGTTGAATTTAAAGAAAAAAATTAAAATTTAATTTAATAAAGTTAATTTGAGAAAAATGGATTGGAAGCAAATTTTATCATTGTCAAACGAAAATCTTACTAACGAGATCAAAGATGAAATATATAATGAGCTAATAAAAGATCAAAAATTCGATTCAAAAATTGCAAAAAAACTTTTTCCGTGAGTTTGGAAAATTTCTTATTTCATTATTAGAAAAATCAAAAAAATTTCATGTGTTTTCGCTTATTTTTTTTATAGATTATGTTTGACTGTATTGAGATTTAAAGGACAACAAGTGGTAAAATATCGTGAAGAGATTGAAATGTTCGGTAAGACTTCTTCTTGGAATATATTTTATGGTAAAATCGAAAGAAATAATCGCTCATTATTATATTAATTGAACTTTCTACAGCTTCTTCAGATATTGATCTAAAATCAACATTAGAGCAAATTGAAAAACAGAAAAAGATGATAAACAAATACGAAGCTGAGCGTGTGCAATTTAAAGCAAAAATAAAAGAACTTTCTGATGAAATAACAATAATGCATGGTCGAGAAATTCATGGAAGTGATGAGGATTCGCCATCTCAGCTGTCGGAAATCGATAGACAACAAGAGCTTTTGGGGAAAATAAGTGCTAAGAACAAGCACATAAAAAGACTCTTACGTGACATTGAGGTAAGCATTTAAAATTATTCAGTTATAACGACTAAGTTATGCAAAATTTTAGTTTCTTGCAATATGTCATAATGTGTTAGTTAAAAAATTCAAGAACCCCTTTTTTTCATACAAAAAATTTCAGCACCCCTTACCCTTCAAAGTAAAATCTAGTTATGACCGTTATGACCTTGCTTTTTGCTATAAACATAAACAGGAGCTATTTGAAATGAGTCAGAGTCACATTCTGTAAACTTATGTCATAAATTTTCCTCTAAATATATTCATTTACAGAAATTTGAACAGCAGTCAACCACACATTTAAACGTGATCAAAGAACTCAAGAGGAATGTTGAAGATTCGAATGAAAAAATTTCTCTTTTAAGCACGCAACTTGAGGACACGACAAACACTATCACGTTTTTAGAGGAGAAAATAGCTCAATTAAGTACACAATTACATGAGATGGAGAATGAAAATCAACAAATGTTTAAGGAACGGTATGAGCGTGAAAAAGAAATGGAAAACTTCTCAAAAGAACTCGAAGAAAGGGTATTACTTTACAAAGGCATTTTGGATGAAAAACAACATGAGTTTGACATTTTGAATGAGAGATATGAGAATTTAATTGAGCAGGTTCCTGGAATCGATATAGAAAGCGACGAGAATGAAATTAAAAGAATATCAAACTTAATTAATGATCGCGATAAAGTGATCAAAGCATTTGAGGAAAAACTACAGTTATTATCAACTAAATTAATGGAATCAACGGAAATCATTAAAAAATTAAGTGAAGAACGAAAAGAGTTTGTCGAACGATTAGAAAAGAATAAGTCTAATGAATGCTGCGTAGAGGTTCAAGATATGCTCAAAAGAGGAAATGAAGAGCGTAAAGAATTGCAGGAAATGCTTCAAATAGCTGAAGATGATAACTTTTTAAAATCTAAGCAGGCATTTGAAGCAATTGAGATACTAAGATCATATGAAAATAGTGAAGATGGACTTGCGGATGCTCTGAAGAAAATTCATTCTTTACAAGAAGCGGTTTTTCAACGTGACAAGCAAATTCATGAATTTGTGACAGAAATTAATGCACAAAATGAGGTCGCTGCTGAAAATTCTATTTTGCGTAAACGTTTGGGAATTTCCGATGATGAAATTGTCGAGACAAAGGCATTTCTGGCACGACAAAAGCGTTATGCAAAAATTAATGATCGTCTTATGTTGAAACTTCGTGCTTCCGAGGAACTTCGATTGCAACTAAAGATTGACAAGAATGAGCTGAAACGTAATATATACAAATTGGAAGCAAAATTGAATAATGAAGGCGATGAGAATTTAAATTCGACATCCAGATCGACGAGTCCATCATTAAATGTAGGTAAAGGCATCGTCCAAAAGCGCAGAAAAGAAAGTCATGTTGAAATGAGGCAATGCGAAAATTGTTCAAATATATATAATGTCTACGAAAGTTTAAAATACTGCCGCAATTGTATTATGAAGCACAATTCAAATCTATGTGAAAACTGTACATCAAATCTTAAAGTTACATCAAGTGAAAATATCGAGTTAATTAAGAAAATCGCGAAATTGGAAATTGATTATCAGTCAATTTCTGAAGAGAATGAAAATTTACGTGTCGGATTAAATGAGATTCTCGAGAAATTGCGTGATAATGAAGGTAAGTTATTTTCTTATTTTTATCGTTTGATAAATTTATATAAAAAACCGTAAAATAACAAATAAAAAAGGGTAATTGTTCATAGAACCGACATAATTTATGCATAAATTTTGCATAAAATCCAGCATAAAAAATGCAAAATATTCTGCACAAATTTATGCATAATTTCGGCATAAATTATGTATAAATTCTGCAAAATTTGTGCATAAAGTTCTGCATAAATTTATGCAAAAAATTATTCATAAATTTTGCATAATATTCGGTGAAATTTTTTACAAAATTTTGTTTCATAATTTTTTGCATAAATTTATGCAAATTTTTTAGGACTAGGGGCGACCCTAGTCAAAATCAATTTTCTCACTTTTTTCTTCGAGGGTTTATACGAATGGATTAAAACTTTGCATAAATATTCTAGTGCTTAAAACAAATACAAATAAAACATCTTGAAATGTTTTTGAGCAAAGAACCAAGTAGGAAATACATTTTCAATTTTGGACTAGGGGCGACTTTAGTCAAAATCAATTTTGTCACTTTTTTCTTCGAGGGTTTATACAAATGGATTGAAACTTTGCATAAATATTTTAATGCTTAAAACAAATACAAATAAAACATCCTAAAAATTTTTTGAGCAAAGAACCAAGTAGGAAATACATTTTCAATTATGAACTAGGGGCGACCCTAGTCAAAATCAATTTTGTCACTTTTTTCTTCGAGGGTTTATTCAAATGGATTGAAACTTTGCATAAATATTTGAGTGCTTAAAACAAATACAAATAAAACATCTTAAAATTTTTTTGAGCAAAGAACCAAGTAGGAAATACATTTTCAATTTTGGACTAGGGGCGACCCTAGTCAAAATCAATTTTGTCACTTTTTTCTTCGAGGGTTTATTCAAATAGATTGAAACTTTGCAAAAATATTCTAGTGCTTGAAACAAATACAAATCAAACATCTTGAAATGTTTTTGAGCAAAGAACTAAGGAGGAAATACATTTTCAATTATGAACTAGGGGCGACCCTAGTCAAAATCAATTTTGTCACTTTTTTCTTCGAGAGTTTATACAAATGAATTAAAACTTTGCTTAAATATTCTAGTGCTTAAAACAAAAACAAATAAAACATCTTAAAATTTTTTTGAGCAAAGAACCAAGTAGGAAATACATTTTCAATTTTTGACTAGGGGCGATCCTAGTCAAAATCAATTTTGTCACTTTTTTCTTCGAGGGTTTATCCAAATGGATTGAAACTTTGCATAAATATTCTAGTACTTAAAACAAATACAAATAAAACATCCTAAAATTTTTTTGAGCAAAGAACCAAGTAGGAAATACATTTTCAATTTTGGACTAGGGGCGACCCTAGTCAAAATCAATTTTGTCACTTTTTTCTTCGAGGGTTTATACAAATAGATTGAAACTTTGCTTAAATATTCTAGTGCTTAAAAACAATAAAAATAAAACATCTTGAAATTTTTTCGGGCAAAGAACCAATACATTTTCAATTTTGGACTAGGGGCGACCCTAGTCAAAATCAACTTTGTCACTTTTTTCTTCGAGGGTTTTTAAAAATGGATTGAAACTTTGCATAAATATTCGAGTGCTTAAAACAAATACAAATAAAACATTCTAAAATTTTTTTGAGCAAAGAACCAAGTAGGAAATACATTTTCAATTTTGGACTAGGGGCGACCCTAGTCAAAATCAATTTTGTCATTTTTTTCTTCGAGGGTTTATACAAATGGATTGAAACTTTGCATAAATATTCGAGTGCTTAAAACAAATACAAATAAAATATCTTAAAATTTTTTTGAGCAAAGAACCAAGTAGGAAATACATTTTCAATTTTGGACTAGGGGCGACCCTAGTCAAAATCAATTTTGTCACTTTTTTCTTCGAGTGTTTATACAAATGGATTGAAACTTTGCATAAATATTTGAGTGCTTAAAACAAATACAAATAAAACATCCTAAAATTTTTTTGAGCAAAGAACCAAGTAGGAAATACATTTTCAATTTTGGACTAGGGCCGACCCTAGTCAAAATCAATTTTGTCACTTTTTTCTTCGAGGGTTTATACAAATGGATTGAAACTTTGCATAAATATTCTAGTGCTTACAACAAATACAAATAAAACATCCTAAAATTTTTTTGAGCACAGAACCAAGTAGGAAATACATTTTCAATTTTGGACTAGGGGCGACCCTAGTCAAAATCAATTTTCTCACTTTTTTCTTCGAGGGTTTATACAAATGGATTGAAACTTTGCACAAATATTCTAGTGCTTAAAACAAATACAAATAAAACATTCTAAAAATTTTTTTGAGCAAAGAACCAAGTAGGAAATACATTTTCAATTTTGGACTAGGGGCGACCCTAGTCAAAATCAATTTTGTCACTTTTTTCTTCGAGGGTTTATACAAATGGATTGAAACTTTGCATAAATATTTGAGTGCTTAAAACAAATACAAATAAAACATCCTAAAATTTTTTTGAGCAAAGAACCAAGTAGGAAATACATTTTCAATTTTGGACTAGGGCCGACCCTAGTCAAAATCAATTTTGTCACTTTTTTCTTCGAGGGTTTATACAAATGGATTGAAACTTTGCATAAATATTCTAGTGCTTACAACAAATACAAATAAAACATCCTAAAATTTTTTTGAGCACAGAACCAAGTAGGAAATACATTTTCAATTTTGGACTAGGGGCGACCCTAGTCAAAATCAATTTTCTCACTTTTTTCTTCGAGGGTTTATACAAATAGATTGAAACTTTGCACAAATATTCTAGTGCTTAAAACAAATACAAATAAAACATTCTAAAAATTTTTTGAGCAAAGAATCAAGTAGGAAATACATTTTCAATTTTGGACTAGGGCCGACCCTAGTCAAAATCAATTTTGTCACTTTTTTCTTCGAGGGTTTATACAAATGGATTGAAACTTTGCACAAATATTCTAGTGCTTAAAACAAATACAAATAAAACATTCTAAAAATTTTTTGAGCAAAGAATCAAGTAGGAAATACATTTTCAATTTTGGACTAGGGCCGACCCTAGTCAAAATCAATTTTGTCACTTTTTTCTTCGAGGGTTTATACAAATGGATTGAAACTTTGCATAAATATTCTAGTGCTTACAACAAATACAAATAAAACATCCTAAAATTTTTTTGAGTACAGAACCAAGTAGGAAATACATTTTCAATTTTGGACTAGGGGCGACCCTAGTCAAAATCAATTTTCTCACTTTTTTCTTCGAGGGTTTATACAAATAGATTGAAACTTTGCACAAATATTCTTGTGCTTAAAACAAATACAAATAAAACATTCTAAAATTTTTTTGAGCAAAGAACCAAGTAGGAAATACATTTTCAATTTTGGACTAGGGCCGACCCTAGTAAAAATCAATTTTGTCACTTTTTTCTTCGAGGGTTTATACAAATGGATTGAAACTTTGCATAAATATTCAAGTGCTTAAAACAAATACAAATAAAACATCCCAAAATTTTTTTGAGCAAAGAACCAAGTAGGAAATACATTTTCAATTTTGGACTAGTGGCGACCCTAGTCAAAATCAATTTTGTCACTTTTTTCTTCGAGGGTTTATCCAAATGGATTGAAACTTTGCATAAATATTCTAGTGCTCAAAACAAATACAAATAAAACATTCTAAAATTTTTTTGAGCAAAGAACCAAGTAGGAAATACATTTCAATTTTGGACTAGGGGCGACCCTAGTCAAAATCAATTTTGTCACTTTTTTCTTCGAGGGTTTATACAAATGGATTGAAAATTTGCTTAAATATTCTAGTGCTTAAAACAAATACAAATAAAACATCTTGAAATCTTTTTGGGCAAAGAACCAATACATTTTCAATTTTGGACTAGGGGCGAACCTATTCAAAATCAAGTTTGTCACTTTTTTCTTCGAGAGTTTATACAAATGGATTGAAACTTTGCATAAATATTTGAGTGCTTAAAACAAATACAAATAAAACATCCTAAAATTTTTTTGAGCAAAGAACCAAGTAGGAAATACATTTTCAATTTTGGACTAGGGGCGACCCTAGTCAAAATCAATTTTCTCACTTTTTTCTTCGAGGGTTTGTACTAATGGATTGAAACTTTGCATAAATATTTTAATGCTTACAACAAATACAAATAAAACATCCTAAAATTTTTTTGAGCACAGAACCAAGTAGGAAATACATTTTCAATTTTGGACTAGGGGCGACCCTAGTCAAAATCAATTTTCTCACTTTTTTCTTCGAGGGTTTATACAAATGGATTGAAACTTTGCACAAATATTCTAGTGCTTAAAACAAATACAAATAAAACATTCTAAAAATTTTTTTGAGCAAAGAACCAAGTAGGAAATACATTTTCAATTTTGGACTAGGGGCGACCCTAGTCAAAATCAATTTTGTCACTTTTTTCTTCGAGGGTTTATACAAATGGATTGAAACTTTGCATAAATATTTGAGTGCTTAAAACAAATACAAATAAAACATCCTAAAATTTTTTTGAGCAAAGAACCAAGTAGGAAATACATTTTCAATTTTGGACTAGGGCCGACCCTAGTCAAAATCAATTTTGTCACTTTTTTCTTCGAGGGTTTATACAAATGGATTGAAACTTTGCATAAATATTCTAGTGCTTACAACAAATACAAATAAAACATCCTAAAATTTTTTTGAGCACAGAACCAAGTAGGAAATACATTTTCAATTTTGGACTAGGGGCGACCCTAGTCAAAATCAATTTTCTCACTTTTTTCTTCGAGGGTTTATACAAATAGATTGAAACTTTGCACAAATATTCTAGTGCTTAAAACAAATACAAATAAAACATTCTAAAAATTTTTTGAGCAAAGAATCAAGTAGGAAATACATTTTCAATTTTGGACTAGGGCCGACCCTAGTCAAAATCAATTTTGTCACTTTTTTCTTCGAGGGTTTATACAAATGGATTGAAACTTTGCACAAATATTCTAGTGCTTAAAACAAATACAAATAAAACATTCTAAAAATTTTTTGAGCAAAGAATCAAGTAGGAAATACATTTTCAATTTTGGACTAGGGCCGACCCTAGTCAAAATCAATTTTGTCACTTTTTTCTTCGAGGGTTTATACAAATGGATTGAAACTTTGCATAAATATTCTAGTGCTTACAACAAATACAAATAAAACATCCTAAAATTTTTTTGAGTACAGAACCAAGTAGGAAATACATTTTCAATTTTGGACTAGGGGCGACCCTAGTCAAAATCAATTTTCTCACTTTTTTCTTCGAGGGTTTATACAAATAGATTGAAACTTTGCACAAATATTCTTGTGCTTAAAACAAATACAAATAAAACATTCTAAAATTTTTTTGAGCAAAGAACCAAGTAGGAAATACATTTTCAATTTTGGACTAGGGCCGACCCTAGTAAAAATCAATTTTGTCACTTTTTTCTTCGAGGGTTTATACAAATGGATTGAAACTTTGCATAAATATTCAAGTGCTTAAAACAAATACAAATAAAACATCCCAAAATTTTTTTGAGCAAAGAACCAAGTAGGAAATACATTTTCAATTTTGGACTAGTGGCGACCCTAGTCAAAATCAATTTTGTCACTTTTTTCTTCGAGGGTTTATCCAAATGGATTGAAACTTTGCATAAATATTCTAGTGCTCAAAACAAATACAAATAAAACATTCTAAAATTTTTTTGAGCAAAGAACCAAGTAGGAAATACATTTCAATTTTGGACTAGGGGCGACCCTAGTCAAAATCAATTTTGTCACTTTTTTCTTCGAGGGTTTATACAAATGGATTGAAAATTTGCTTAAATATTCTAGTGCTTAAAACAAATACAAATAAAACATCTTGAAATCTTTTTGGGCAAAGAACCAATACATTTTCAATTTTGGACTAGGGGCGAACCTATTCAAAATCAAGTTTGTCACTTTTTTCTTCGAGAGTTTATACAAATGGATTGAAACTTTGCATAAATATTTGAGTGCTTAAAACAAATACAAATAAAACATCCTAAAATTTTTTTGAGCAAAGAACCAAGTAGGAAATACATTTTCAATTTTGGACTAGGGGCGACCCTAGTCAAAATCAATTTTCTCACTTTTTTCTTCGAGGGTTTGTACTAATGGATTGAAACTTTGCATAAATATTTTAATGCTTAAAACAAATACAAATAAAACATCCTAAAATTTTTTTGAGCAAAGAACCAAGTAGGAAATACATTTTCAATTTTGGACTAGTGGCGACCCTAGTCAAAATCAATTTTGTCACTTTTTTCTTCGAGGGTTTATCCAAATGGATTGAAACTTTGCATAAATATTCTATTGCTTAAAACAAATACAAATAAAACATCCTAAAATTTTTTTGAGCAAAGAACCAAGTAGAAAATACATTTTCAATTATGAACTTGGGACAGGTCTAGTCAAAATCTAGTTTTTCACTTTTTTTTCGCCGACATATTCTTCTCGACGGTGACAAAATTCAAATAACTTTTGAACTGTGTCGATATGGGTTTCGGTCGTACTTCACGCCCACCCTTTAAACTTATACTGAGCAAATCTTGGTCTATCCATAAGACTTTTGATGGTACGGTGTGAATATATCCGCATTGGGTTTCTACCCGATACACTAGTTAGAAGTATACTTCACAAGATACAATACTTTTAAAAAATCGGCCGATTTTTAAAATACATGGAATTTGATCGATAGTATCGATTAATTTGAATAATGTTAACAGTTTTTGGCAGCAATATTTCAGCAGATGGAAGTGCATTGAAGGACGTTAATATGCGTATTCAAAAGTAAAAGAGTGTTTAATTATAAATATTTTTAAGCTCCAAATTTGCTGGTAAAAGCTTCCTTACTTACTTACTGGAACCATGTTCTTATGTGGAGCTTAGGTTAGTTTGTATATATTCTCTGTCCGCACATTAAGCTGGCATTTTTTCATTCTTGTTCTACGCCAAGGAGCTTTTGGATCTCCTGGGCGTCTTTCCCCTTGCGGATATCATCCAAGGGCGGTATAACAAACTTGTGTTTCTTTTAAAAATATACAATATTAAACATACAATATTGTATGCAAGAAAACACTTGTACCAAAAAAATTGGTTGACAGATATCGACCGATAAATTGTACGTAAGAACAAAAAAAAAATATCGGTCGATACACGTAACCACAAAAAAAAATCGGCCCATTGTGGCTGGGATTTTGTGGCCAAGTTCACACGGGTGCTCATGGAAATATTACAGATACATCAAGCAGCAATACCAATGGACCAATTTTGAATCCAGCAACATTGGAGAAACTTTTCTACATTTTAAACTTGCGAAATAACATGAAAACATCATCTTCCAAAACATTAAATAAAGTGACTTCTAGTGCCAACACATTTGAGTCAGATGATAAGAATAAATCCGTAGAGAAAAACAGAGAAGCTGTTGATGAAACTTTGAAACTTAAACTTTTGATAAAAGATTTAAGTGACGAGAATGAAGCAATTAGATTGGAACTAGTAAAAAGGCAGCATGTGGAGGAGCAATATGAAGAACTTGTGACCAGCAGTAAATTATGTGATGATGATAAGTATCGATTAATGGTCAAGAGTCTTGAACGATGTCATGAGTTTGAAAGTAATCTGGAAATATTTGAGAGAAAAATTGATTTTCTCAATAATGAAAATGACAATTTACATCATGAAATAAGGAAAATTAAAGTATCATCAATTGAAGTCATGAATGATATGAAAATGGAAATTCTGAGAAAAACAGAAAAGCTCTTGACTGTCAATGCGATTAATGAGGATGAAAATGAGAAGGAAGAGATTAAGCAACTTGAAGAGGAATTACATGAAATGCGTTTTAAATTAAATGGTTTATGCTTTAACGTCCTTAAAAATCTAAAAACTCTTGACGAAAATAATGTCCTTAAAATCGAAACTGAAAAGTTCTCAAATCTAGCCATTTTGGAAAATAATCTTACAACATCATTCATGACACGTAGCGAATTAAATGAGATGAAATCGAAGCTATTAAGAATGCAAGAGACAATCAATATGAATCAGATACGAGAAAAGCATCTTGAAGAATTGACTAAAATATCACAACAGCAATTAAAAGCACAACAGTTAATGCTTACTCAATTCTCGGATGATGAGATTGCATCACGTCATTTAATTGTGGATCTACAAAGTCAAAGTAATGAAAATTATTTATTGACAAAGACAGCACGTGATTTGAAAATTTCTAAGGAAAATGAGGAACATCTCAAGCTTGAGAATGATAAATTAAAATTTGAGATAAAAACCATACAGGATAATATACAAAAAGTACATGATATTACAGATGACAAACTTAAAGAGATGAATGCACGTGAAAAAAGTAACTTATTAAAAATTCAATATCTCAGAAAATCTTTAATTGACTTATGCAATCAATATAGTTCGATGACACCAATGTACTTAATAACTGACTTTGTAAAACATTATGCGAAGTTATTGGAGGCAAAAAAAGAATTTGAAATAGAAATGCTAAATTTAAAATCACAATCAATGCCGGAACTTTCGTATGATTCTATTGCAACACAACTAAAAGATATGTCAATGACAGACATTGAAGGAAAAATTGAGATCATTAAGTACAAATCGTCGTGTGATTATCTAAAACAACAATTACAATTACGTGAGACGACAATCAAAGAATTGCATAATGAAATTGCACGTATAAGATTAAATGAGATAAAATCCAAACAACATTGGAACGCAATCAGAATGTTATTTGGTGACAAAAATGGAGCTGAAAAATGTGTTGATTCCGAGCAAATCGAGAGATGTGATAAATGCACTCAAATTGATGTTATTAAAAAAGATTGTGGTACAATTACTGATAAGCACGAAGAGATGCCGAAAATTAATGCACAACAACCAATAATGAGAGAGATTGTGAAGCCACAAACTCCGCCGATATCACAAAGTGTATATCAAATAAAAAGTGATGATCAAAATTCACTCGAAATGCAATTAAAGAAAGCATTAAGCCTTGCATCGTCTCGTAGCTCATTATTAATTGAGACAGAAAATCGTTTGAGTGAGGCTCAAGGAAGAATTAAAGCACTCGAGAGAAATTTCGAAAATCAACTCAAGCAGCAACAACAGCAGCAATCAACTGCGGTAAATGATATGATTAATAAGAAGGATGACCATATATTAAGTATAACAATTGCGACATTACAAAACTTAATACTCGATAAGGACACGAATTTATCACGATATCAAGAGTTGTTAAAATCTGAGCGTCAACATAACATGCGGACTTTTGACGAATTAAGTGAGCAAATAAAGCAATTAAAGAAGGTCAATGATTGTAATGAGACGACAATAGATGAGAGAGATAAGGCGATTGATAAATTAAAACAGCAAATAATGAATTTGGAAGAAGAAAAGCTTAAAGTTGAGAACGCTGTAAAACCGGTGACACCGCCGCCTCAACAACTCCATGTAACATTTAAAGATAATAAAAATGTGCATGACATTGAAATGCAAAGTATGGAAATAAAATTAAAGGAGGCTCATACTGAGGTGAAAAAAATGGAACAGCAATTGAAAGATCTCACAAATACTGAACGGCAGTTGCAAAATCTCATTCGAGAGAAGGACATATTGATAAAAGATTTAAACATAAAGTTGAAGGCATCAAATGACAATTTGGAGACATTGAGTGAGAGTTTCACATCTCATAATGAAATTGAACAATTAAGAGAAATGCTCGAGGAGAAAGATAAACATATACAGGACTTGACAGAAACATTAAATCAATTTCATGATGATCAGCAGAAATATATAAATGATACAGCATTGAACTCAGCCGATCAAGTTCAAATCATATCGGCTAATTTAACGCGTGCCGAGACAACAAACCGTGTGCTCGCAACCCAACTAGAAGCACTAAAGCGGCAGGTTGCAAATATTCAACAACGAGAGAAACAATCACGTGACATGATAAAGACTTTGAAAAATCAACTAATTAAACGTCCTGTTATTTCTGTTAAGAGGTAAGCATAGTAATATCGCTAAACGTTAATCGTTGGATGATTCTGACGATTAAAACAGTGTTATCTGCATTCAAAATTAAGTTAATTAAATATGTGTAATTGTAATATTTCGTTTAATAATTTAGTGATAAGCGCCCAATAACGACACGAGAGGAACAGCAACAGAAGCGAATCAATGAACTAGAAAATGAATTATTGGAAGTGAAAGATGATTTGAGACGTCAAATTAATATTAATGATAATAAGAAGGCAAAGAATGCAGCTGAACTTGGTTTGTGGGATAAACAAAAGCGCTATCAAGAAATGTCAGAAAAATTAAAAGGCAAGCTTACTGAAAAAGAAATTGATTGTGAACGTTTAAAGGCAAACCTCCAAATGGCAAAGAACAGCATAAGACGTCTTGAAAATGAGAAGATAATGCTTGACAATAAGATAAAGAATGGCCGATACATGCAAATTGTCGGTGGTTCATCAACATCATCGATTTCTTGTCAGCACTGCGATACATTAAAACATTCTCAAATAGCGGAAACTCCATCAATAATGAGTGATAGTGGCTCTGAAATGAATAGTGAACTAGTTGTTGCTTTAAAATCACGTATTGAATCGCAGCAAAGGAAAATTATTGCAATGGAACTAGATGGAAAAGGCTCGAGTGTTTCCATTGAAATTGATAAAATTCAAGAACAGCTTTCGGAAATTCAAGCACGAAATATTCGTTTGGAGGCTAAAAACATTCAGCTTCAATTAGATAACGATCTACTTAAACAAAACGTCGGTGGGCAGCGCCAAGAAGCTAGGATTAAGCACTTGGAAGAGTAAATAGTATTAAATTAAATCAATCATGCAGATGCAGCTTTAAATCACCCACAGACCAGAATCCCCACGCAAATTTTCTCGAAGCCCCCACAAACGAAAATCACGGGTTTCCAAAACCACCACTTGAAAATATATGTGTTGGTTCTGGAAAACAGTGTATTTCATAAACAATTACAAGTGGTGTTTCTGGAAACACATGTGTTTCATATCACCCGAAAATTTTGTCTGTGGGCGTTTTGGAGATCAGTGTAATATTTTTTGAAGTTTAAAAAGTAGTGAAAAATATTAGGGTTTATTCTCATTTTTTTAAAATGCAATCTTAATTTTTGTATTTAAATAAAAAAATTTTCATGATTGTGGCTGGGTGCTTTGCATTGATATACACCAGATAGTAAACTGAGCAGAGTTATGGAAATCGACTGTTCGTAAGGACAAAACTGTCTGTAAGGCAAAAATTCAATCTGTCTGTATAAGTTTAAGAACTACAGTTAAGATGAAAAGGCTGCTGCTTGAACCCTTAAAAAATATTTATTGAGACACATTTGTAGAAATTTAACATTTATACCAAAATTTTGTTTTTAATTCTGTGTAAAACATTTATGGTCAATTCTTTGGATGACTGTTGGATCAATAACTTGTCCGTAGTGTAACTATGTTTTTCTCTAATTATAAAATTGTGTTTGATTAGAAATTAAATAAGCAATTTAATTAATTAAATAAGCACCCAGCCACAATCATGAAATTTTTTTTATTTAAATACAAAAATTAAGATTGCATTTTAAAAAAATGAGAATAAACCCTAATATTTTTCACTACTTTTTAAACTTCAAAAAATATTACACTGATCTCCAAAACGCCCATAGACAAAATTTTCGGGTGATATGAAACACATGTGTTTCCAGAAACACCACTTGTAATTGTACGTGGTGAATAAAAACACATGTGTGATTTTATCCACCACTTGGAAATATATGTGGTGTTTATGAAATACATTGTTTTCCAGAACCACCACATATATTTTCAAGTGGTGGTTTTGGAAACCCGTGATTATCGTTTTGTGGGGGCTTTGGGGAAATTTGCGTGGGGACTCTGGTGTGTGGGTCATTTTTTAAATTTTTATTTCACACTTTTTATTTAGCTACATAATGGTGCTTAAAGACGAACTTGCTCAATCGCACATGTCAAATGGATCGGAGAAGTCTAGGCATTCAGACTCATCATCATCATCAAAAATTCATGCAATGGAACAAACAATTCTTAATCTCAAGCTAATCATTGAAAAATTACAAGCAGAAAATAAATATTTAAGAAATTCCAAGCATACACAGCAGTCAATCTCTCAAACGTCGTCCTACATGAGTCAGAGTGATCGAAAAAAAGAAGAGATCTTTGAAAAGCTCAAGATTGATTATGAAAAATTGAAAAAGAATTACAATGAAGCTATTATAAAATGCTCTCAAATTCAAGTCGAATTGGAGCTGTCACAATCGCAAATAATCAGTACTTCATGCCCACATTGTAATCGTAAAGATATGGATGAATTAGCGACCCAAGATATTGATGCGTTAAGACAACAATTACAGCAAAAGGATCAAATTTTAGTGAAAGCAAAATCGTTATTGTCAAGAGCAGCAGCAAAAGAGAAGCATTTAAGAGAGTCAATAGCTAATTTAAAAAAGAAAGTGTGTGACCTTGAGGGAGTTCCAGTAATAAGTGAAGAAAATAGTGAAACGGGTTAAAACTTGTGTGTTCATTTTAACTGTGGCGTGAGTTTAAATTTGATTATATTTATATATTTATTAATTAAATTATTTACAAGCGAGAACTTAAACGGAAATAGCTACATGAATTGTATTTTTTTATCCATTTTAAGCGACATAAAATATTCATTAGATTTAAAATAATAAAATTTAGTAAGTTCTTTATTAAAGAATAAGAATTCATGAATTTAATGTTTAGATGATGAGGCTGTTGGTAATTGAGGCAAGCCAAATTCATCGACTAAAATGCCATCTTTATTTTTCTGCGGAGGCGCAACGATACTATCGGCACCAGGCTCCTTGTCAGGAATTCCAGGAGCTTTAATAACATCGTCTAAGTACGATGTATCGTCATCAAGAGCAATTTCATCTCCTAATGCATCTAATTCTGCCTGTAGATCATCTTCATCCATTTCCGGCATATTATAATTTCTACCAAGTGCTTCCTGAACTTCGTCAGCCTGTTCTAACATGTCAGCCATTTCATCTTGTAAGTCCTCAATATCCTCAATGTTAATTTTCTTAAATTCTTTTTTCATTGACTTCATTCCGTCCTTCATTGCGACAACAGTTGCCTGTGTATCTTTCAACATTTGATTTGCATAATTTGCCTGCTCCATGTTAAATGACTGATTTCGAAGATTGTCGACTTGCTGCTCATATCTTTATCAATTAATTAAAAAAAAGTTATTATTTATGACAATGACATTGAATGCCAACTTATGAATCATCATCAATCAAACAATAAGGAGTTTTAACTCACTGTTTCTTTTGTTTAAGGACACGTAAGGCTTTCTGTTTAACTGCGTTTTTACTCGGACCTTCTCTCATTTTAGCCATCTGATCTTTGTATTTACGCAGCTCATTATCGAGTGTCTGGATCTTTTTGTCAATTCCCTCAGCTCTTTGATCCACCTTAAAAAATTATTCGCAATTTTTTTTTTGTCTATTTATAGGCCTTTTCGCCTTTTTAATTGGCTACTTACACTCGTTATGCAATCATTGATGTTCGGTGCAGGTTCCTTTGGCTTTGCCTTTCCAAATAATCGATTCATCTTGAAATTATACAGGAATTATTTAATTTTTTTTGTTTTGATGTAAAGAAGTGACTCATTGAAGTTCAACAATTTGAAAATATATTAGCCGTTATTTTTTTGATGGAAGCTGCGAATTTTAATTCAATAAAGTAGGATAAATGAGATTAATTAATTACACAAAATATGTTTTATGTTTTCACAATGTGTTACTCGAATTTATTATTTTAAAAATTAAAAGCCGTACAACTAATATGAAAATCCAAATATTGAAAAAAATTTACTGGATCTTAGTTTTATTAATTAAATCCAGGTCTTATAGGAGGTGGAAAATTCATGACTGGTGGTGGAAAACTTGAAGCCATCTGAGGAGGTGGCTGTGCAAAGTTCATTCCTGGAGGTGGTTGAGCAAAATTCATCATTGCAGGTGGGGGTTGAGCGAATGGATTACTTGCTATTTTTCCTGCCTTAAATGCAGCTGGAAGTTAGAATAATATGTTAATTCGATAAGTTAAAACAAAATAATAATAATAATAATAATAATAATAATAATAATACCTGTTGTGGCATCAATCAAATGCTGAGCCTGTTCTTCCATCCACTTTTGATAGTAAAATTTCACATTGTCCTTATGCTTTCTTCCTGTACAGTGCGTCTTTCGTACTGATGGCGAATCGTGAGTTAAGAATGTGTCACAGTAATCGCAATAATATTTTGGCATTATTTATGCTTCTTTGATCCCCAACTTACGACAAAAATATTATTTTCTGGACTTTTCGTCGAATCGTTTTTGTTATGATTTCAGAGTGTGTTTTCAGATTTATTAGGGGGATGCATGATGTGAGGAAGTAACTTTAAAATGTCTGTTGCAGTCTCATTACCTAAAAGTTTCTTTTCTTGAGCTTAATTAAGAAACTTTTGATTTGATTGGATTAAAGAACAACTACAATTTTGATCTACCAAATATTAAGGTACACAAGCATGGATGATCGTATAATAATCTCGCTTGTGTTTAGAAATGGTCCGCATAGAACGTAAAGACAGAGATAGATACATCCGAAGATTTTAAAAAGATAATTTTAGCGAAGTATATCTTATCAATTCTAGCTTTATATATAAGAATATTTTAGTTGTGTTTAGGTAAAAGAGGAGCTAAGAAGGAACTGCGAGCAGTATTAGTAGTTGTCACTTTCTCATTTAAAATCAAATAGAAGAAGGGCACATATAAAGTATTTTCCATAATTTTGCGGCATTATAATAATAATAAAATTAAGAGAGCGAGGAGAGAATCTTGAATAACAAGAAGGAACGATCTTTACACACATTTATTCGTGTTTAGCCGATTAAAATCACGTAAACATTGAGTAAAAGCAATGTTTAGAGCTCTTCAATGCTTCAGATCGACTGGAGCTGTCTTGGTTGGTGCAAGTTTGACAACAGTTTTACAAATTCGCAAAGTTCACATGGAATCGGTTAGAAAAATTAACGTGGCTAATTTTATGGCCCAACCAATTACCCCAATTGAGACATTAGAAGCCAGCAATGATATCAGAGTACGTATGGAACTGATGATCATGAAGATCCAACACGATTTTGTACGTGCATTGGAAGGTGAAGAGAATTTTGGAAAAAAGTTCAAGGTCGATCGTTGGGAACGTAATGAAGGTGGCGGTGGAATTACTTGTGTGATTGAAGGAGGTGATACCTTTGAAAAAGGAGGTGTAAATGTTTCTGTTGTACAAGGAATGTTACCACCGGGTGCTGTTCAACAAATGAGAGCTCGTGGAAAGAAATTAGGTGATGGTGAATTACCATTTTTTGCTGCTGGTATTAGTTGTGTCATTCATCCACGCAATCCATACGTTCCAACAATTCACTTTAATTATCGTTATTTTGAATTGGTTGAAGATGATGGAAGTAAAATGTGGTGGTTTGGAGGTGGTACTGATTTAACACCATACTATTACTATGAAGATGATGCTGAACATTTCCACAAGACATTAAAGGAGGCATGTGATGTCCATGACAAGAAATTTTATCCAAAATATAAGAAATGGTGTGATGATTATTTTACTATTACTCATCGTAATGAAACCCGTGGAATCGGTGGAATCTTCTTTGATGACGTTGACAGTCCATCACTTGAAGAGTGCTTCCAATTTGTTCAAACATGTGCTGAATCTGTCAAACCATCATACATCCCAATCGTTAGAAAACACAAAAATGACAATTATGGTGATCGTGAAAGAACCTGGCAATTAATCAGACGTGGACGTTATGTTGAATTCAACTTGATTTATGATAGAGGAACGAAATTCGGACTTTATACTCCTGGATCAAGAGTTGAATCAATTCTCATGTCACTACCTACACTTGCTCGATGGGAATACATGCATGAACCAGAACCAGATACTGACGAAGCAAATTTACTCAAAGTCACGAGAAATCCAGTCGATTGGGTCTCAAAGCTTTCATCATAAAAAAAGACACAATGAGCAATCAAATTGCATTTTTCTCTATTTCCAAGCGCAGCACGGAAATCTTTTGACATAATCGAGAATATATTAATTTTTTTTTAAATATTTTGTATAAAGGTTCGAGTTGGAACGTTAAATAAAGGCTCTTCTATTATTTTTGTAAAAACATATCTCTGTACGTGTTATGAAATTCTAGATGATAAGCACCTATTTTTGTCGATTACGATAGAAAAAAAAAGCATTCATGAGGATCTTCGCACATAGTTCGACTTTTTTTTCTGCTGATAAAGTAATTTAATTTTGTTCTTTTCTTCTCGCATACACTTGCTTGCTCTCCTTTTCAATTTTTCTAAAAACGAATGAAAAAAAAAAGACTTTCGATGTCTCATGATTGTCTCATGAATGTTTGATAACAGCAAAATACTTGTTATTTTTTTCTTCTTCTTCTCAACAAACTTCCTATGCCACACATGCTTTAATATCTTTTGTTTAGTAAGCATAACATAAAGGCTATGGAACTTTAGTTACACATTAATTAATCTGCTGTTTTGAATAAAAATTCTAATGAATTCATGTAGACCTATGAACAACAAATGCATCAGAATATTTGACAATTAATAAGAAGAGAAAAATCAGGTTTTAGAATTTTCGGGTTTTATGCACAACCGTGTGTCTGTTTAATAATTTTGCCGAATAAAAATGAATGTTTTGAAGGCAACAATCGAACATTATGTCTTAATTTTGTCTCAACATACACTACACGCATACATGTCTACAAAAATGTAGATAGCTGACAATGTTATTAAAAATGATAAACAGTCACGTGTTGAGCTTTTTGATACAAAACCATTTTCCAAATTTTAAATCTGAAAAGTTGTCAAAATAATAATCAACGGTTTTTTAAAAGTTTTAAAACTGTTCAAAAAATTTTTTTGATCGTAGTGAAAAAGATATTTTTTTCCGTTACATTTCATTTGTCATTGAGACTTTGTCGAGACAAGACGTGCTCAGCAAACAGAAAAAAAATCAACTTAATTCATCTTATTTAATCAATTTAAAGGCAGTAAAAATGCGTGAAATCGTTCATATTCAAGCTGGACAGTGTGGTAATCAAATCGGTGCAAAGGTAAGCTATAAAAGGTAAGCAGTTTGTTAAAAAATTCTCACTGTATATTTTTCTCTTCAATAGTTTTGGGAAGTTATTTCCGACGAACACTCGATTGATGCAACTGGATGTTATTGTGGAGATTCAGATTTACAACTCGAACGAATCAATGTTTATTATAATGAAGCAGCAGGCGGAAAATACGTTCCACGAGCTATTTTAGTTGATTTGGAACCTGGAACTATGGATTCGGTTCGTTCGGGACCTTTTGGACAGCTATTTCGTCCTGATAACTTTGTTTTTGGACAATCTGGAGCTGGAAACAATTGGGCCAAGGTAACTTTAATTATGATATGAAAAATAAGCTTAATTCAACTACCTTAGTGCTTTCTACATTAATAATTATAGGGTCATTATACAGAAGGAGCTGAATTGGTTGATTCTGTTTTGGATGTCGTTCGAAAGGAATCTGAAGGATGTGATTGTCTTCAAGGCTTTCAATTGACTCATTCTCTTGGTGGTGGAACTGGAAGTGGAATGGGAACTTTATTGATCTCAAAGATCCGAGAAGAATATCCAGATCGTATTATGAATACATATTCAGTCGTTCCATCACCAAAAGTTTCAGATACAGTTGTTGAGCCTTATAATGCAACATTATCAGTTCATCAATTAGTCGAAAATACTGATGAATCATATTGCATTGATAATGAAGCACTTTATGATATTTGCTTTCGCACATTGAAACTTACAACACCAACTTATGGTGATTTAAATCATCTTGTATCAGCAACAATGTCTGGAGTTACGACATGTCTACGTTTTCCTGGTCAACTCAATGCTGATTTGCGTAAATTAGCTGTAAATATGGTTCCATTTCCTCGTTTGCATTTCTTTATGACTGGATTTGCACCATTAACATCACGCGGATCTCAGTCATATCGTGCATTAACTGTCCCTGAATTGACTCAGCAAATGTTTGATGCTAAGAATATGATGGCAGCATGTGATCCACGTCATGGACGTTATTTAACTGTGGCTGCAGTTTTTCGAGGACGAATGTCAATGAAGGATGTTGATGAACAAATGCTTAATATACAAAATAAGAATAATAGCTATTTTGTTGAATGGATTCCAAATAATGTTAAGGTAGCAGTTTGTGACATTCCACCTCGTGGTCTTAAAATGAGTGCTACATTTATTGGAAATTCGACCGCAATTCAAGAATTATTCAAACGAATTGCCGAGCAATTTACAGCTATGTTTCGTCGTAAAGCTTTCTTGCATTGGTATACTGGCGAAGGAATGGATGAAATGGAATTTACAGAAGCTGAAAGCAATATGAATGACTTAATATCGGAATATCAACAATATCAGGAAGCTACAGCTGATGAAGATATCGAAGGTGAAGACGAGGAAGAAGATCAATAAGCATGAGCACTTTTTTTTGTTTTATTTTCCAAATTTTTGATGTAATTGTCATATTGAACGCAATATAAGCCATAGGTGCTATAATAAACTTTGATTTAACATGCTAAAATGTGTTTTTATTTTTCTCGTGAAATTACAGGCATTACTAGTATAATTAAGTTAATTTTTCGAAGGATTTCTCTTTGCGATCTTTGAATGTGTGTGAAAATTTTAAATAATTTATCACAACTTGAAAACGTCTCTGGGTTAATAGATTGTTTCATGCTCATGGAGTTTAACAAATAAAAGATCCAATATGAGATTCCAGGTGTGATTTAAAATCGTCATAAATTTTAAATTCCAACGAACACAAATGGCAGGTTCTGGATTTTATTTCACCATTCGTATGTACTTGAAATGAGTGTTTGACCTTCATGTACTTTGTATTGAATTTCTCTTGACAAATTTTATACTTAAAATTCTCGTTCCATTGATGGTGTACATGGACTATTTTTTTATGCGAATACAAGCTCTTTTTTGAGGAACAAATTTTCTCACAGACATCACATGTCACATTTTCAAATGGCTCGATCCTCTTTATTTTCTCATGAATATTCTTAATGTGCTCATTCAATTCATACTGGGATCTGAAAGCTTTAAGACACGAAAATTCATGACATTTATAATCCCTTCTATCCTCATGAATAGCTCTAACATGTCTTTCCATTGATCTCTTGAACGTAAATGTCCGTTGGCATAAATCACATTCGAATAGTTCAGTTTTATGGACCGATGTAAGGTGCAATTCTAAATATTTAGACTTTTTAAATATTTTTTTGCACAAATTGCATGTTCTGATGCTCACTCCATTATCGTTACTTGTCTGGTTGGTCACATTGTCTTCGAAAACTTCTGGATGATTTTGTCGGACGTGACGAAGTCTTTGGGTTCGATGAGTGAACTTTTCAGGACAAAATTTGCATTCAAATGATTTTTCATTTTCTCCTTTATGGACTGTCCTTAAATGTGATTGAAGGTATCGTTTCTGTTTAAAAGCAGCTGAGCAGATATGACATTTTATATCTTCAATAATTTCGATATTCAGTGAATCTCTAAACTCGTCTAAAACTTCTATTGAATAAGCATCATAACCCGTTGATTCTATTGACTTGACGTCATTTTTATTCTTTTGGACCAAAATTTCTTTATGTTTACCAACAGAGTCGTCCTGAATGACAAAGATTTCCTCAATAAATCCAGATTCATTGGCTTTATTTTCATTAAATATTTTTTCTAATCTATTGTTACTCTTAAAATGAGTCTTTCTGTGTCTAAGAAGTTGTGTCTTTTCTCCAAAAGATTTCTCACAAACATCACATGACCAAGATTTCAATTTTTCGTGAACAGTCATAATATGTCTAACCAATCCAGATCTTTTGCCAAATTCTTTCTTACATATTGAGCATTTATGATTCTTAATTTTCTGATGAACTTGCTGAATATGCGATCGGAGATTAATAAACAATTTGCCACAAATTTCACAATTTATTCGACCACTTTTGATCGCATGCGTTCTTAAATGAGAATTATATTTTGACCTAATGCTAAATTGTTGATGACAAATCTCGCAAATTAGCGGTTCCTTAATCTGTTCATGAACTCTCTTGTGCTGCAGTAAATCAATCTTTGTTTTATAGCTTTTTGGACACTCATCGCAAATAAAGTTTCTTTCGTCCGAATGATGGCTCAGATGGTATTTAAAATTCGATAAATTCGTAAACTTTTTCAAGCAGATGTTGCATGTTTCAACTGTAATTAGATATCATGAGATACGGTGCTATAATAAAGGAACAAATTCACTTTGATTACCTCTCTTTTCTTTGTGAGTTTTTAAGTGTCGATCATAATCCATTTTATTGACATTATTTCCACATTTTTCACACATTATTACTTGATTTCTGAAATCACTCATTTCTGTGTTCTACCTTAATTTATCAAAAATGGCATATATAAACAAATAATAAGTTATGTACGTGTAAGTTATGACCTGAATTGGCTTTTTTCATGGAACTTTTTGCTTGGGTATGTTTCTGGCTTGTGACGAGAATCTGTGTAAGTACTGTTGCAAGCTGAAAATCTGTGACATTAAAATAACATAATGAGATATCCCTAAAAGTAAGTCTGGTATTGATAGAACGAATCTTATTCACACTAAACTATGCTTTCTCGATTTCTCGGTCTCGACTAATTCCCGAGACCTTAGTCTCAGGAAGGCTCGACTTTGAAAATTGCTTAAAAGTTTTATTCAAAATAATACACAACGACTAGATGTAAATACTTATATGTCTATTTATTATTAAACTTCTTGTTATTTTCCTTACTAAGCAATCTGAATTTGAAAAATGAGGTTTCAAATTTTTTCAAATTCGGATTTTTAATAGGTTTAATCAGGTCTTCGTTAATTAATTTTGATTGGTCAAAATATTAAATTTCGTTAAAAATTCAATAAATTATAAAACTTTCATTTCCAAATAATTTATTAATATAATATCTCACAAAACAAAGAAGAACATTTAGGGTAAACCATGTTAAAATTTGTGCAATGTTGAAATTTTTGCGCTTACATAAAAAAGAAATCAGCCCAAATAAACCATTTAAACCAAAATGTTGTTTGCAGCTCTGTGTAAAACGGTTGTACAAACATTTCTACATCATTTTGAAGGTAGCCATTTTGAACAGTCTCAAAACTTGGAGCAGCTTTAAATTTGAAAAATTTAAAATCCCATACAAAATTGTGATTTTCATATTTTTAAATATTTGAACATAACCAGTGCTGGATGTAATCAAATCACAGTTTTAATATAAAATTTGATAATTGCTATACGGTTTCAAAAGAAATTCAAGTTATAAAAATCATTGGAAGTGCTTTAAAAATTGATTTTATAATTTCTTGATTGTAAATGTCAAAATTTGTGCGAAATTTGGCTAAAGTATACTTTAGCGGCGACTTTTTAAAATGCATTTTAAACGCTTTTATATTGTTTCTAATGTTTCTTGGAACCATTATCAGTTGATTTTAGGTGGGGGGCGACTTACTCCGGGGCACAAAGAGCTTTTTTTTTTTAAAAAAAATTGTCTTCAACCTAAAGTGTTTTTATTTGATTTTTTTGATTAATCAGTCAAACTAGGGGGCCTCGTGGGAACCGGGAGTTCTCAGGTGGGGATCACAACATAAAAGCTCTTTTGAGGGTTCAAAAGCTTTCAAAAAAGATTGTTCCTATAATAGTGTTGTGATCTACCAGGTTCAGCGTTTGTTAAAAAAAAAGTGTTGTAAAGTGTTTAAATATAGAACCCACTGGAAAAATAGATTTTCGAAGAAAATCCTTATACCCTATTTAAATTGTAGATTTTCGAAGAAAATCCTTGAACTAATTTAAATATAAAACCCACTGGAAAAATAGATTTTCGGAGAAAATCCTTGTACCCAATTGAAATATAGATTTTCGAAGAAAATCTTTGAACCTATTTAAATATAGAAACCGCTTGTTTAATTGATTTTCGAAGAAAATCCTTGTACCCACTTAAAAATTGATTTTCGAAGAAAATCCTTTTTCCCACTTGTTTAATTGATTTTCGAAGAAAATCCTTGTACCCACTTAAAAATTGATTTTCGAAGAAAATCCTTTTTCCCACTTGTTTAATTGATTTTCGAAGAAAATCCTTGTACCCACTTGTTTAATTGATTTTCGAAGAAAATCCTTGTACCCACTTATTTAATTGATTTTCGTAGAAAATCCTTGTACCCACCTGAAAATTGATTTTCGAAGAAAATCCTTTTACCCATTTGTTTAATTGATTTTCAAAGAAAATCCTTGTACCCACTTGTTTAATTGATTTTCGAAGAAAATCCTTGTACCCACTTATTTAATTGATTTTCGAAGAAAATCCTTGTACCCACTTATTTAATTGATTTTCGAAGAAAATCCTTGTACCCACTTATTTAATTGATTTTCGAAGAAAATCCTTGTACCCACCTGAAAATTGATTTTCGGAGAAAATCCTTGTACCCGTTTTTGAAAGCTTTTGAACCCTCAAAAGAGCTTTTATGTTGTGGTCCCCACCCGAGAACCCCCGGTTCCCACGAGGCCCCCTAGTTTGACTGATTAATCAAAAAATATCAAATAAAAACAATTTAGGTTGAAGACAATTTTTTAAAAAAAAGAAGCTTTTTGTGCCCCGGGGTAAGTCGCCCCCCACCTAAAATCAATTGATAATGGTTCCAAGAAACATTAGAAACAATATAAAAGCGTTTAAAATGCATTTTAAAAAGTCGCCGCTAAAGTACATAATTACCCGAAATTTTTTTACAAATTTTGAAATTTGTGCGCTTTTTGTCATAGAAAGCGATGGGAATTTTTATCAACAACAAGTATTATTTACGTATGAAATTCATGTTTTTATAGGGTTTTCAATGTCAAAAACTGATAACAGCTCATAAAAATGAAAAACGTGGATCATTTAAAATTTTAGATAAAAATAAAAAAAAAATGCAAAAGACTTCAAGAATATCCATACATTCAAAAAGTATATCCTGTTTAGTGTTTAATTTCAGATCTTTAAATAAAAACATTTTGATTTCCTAATTCTCATCTTTTTATTGTTAAAACTCTATGCTCCATAAAATTTACAAAAAAATGGAGGAATTGCTAATTTAATGGATGTTCCTTTGACGGTTGTAAGCTCACCCAGCTCAAACTGAGTTAAATTTTGAATCAAGCATTATTTCTTGAGGAAAAGGTTTGAAACAAATCAGCTTTATATTCTTAATTTCATTTAAATTTTATTCAAATATTCCAAATTCCTTCAGCAAAATATCAATTTCTGCTTCAAAAATATGTAAATGAAATGTTTGTTTACATTTAAGAATTGCAATTATGTCAAAGATTGCTATTAAAAAAACGCACAAAAATCAACATTTTTTTGCACAAATTTTAAAATTTTCCGCACAAATTTCAACATTTGATCGAAAATGTCAAAAATCTCTTCACATATGCAGCATATCCTTCAAAAAACATTATTAACTGAAAAAACACGACTTGCGTAGAAAGCCACGAACTTCCACGCTTGACTTATGCTAGATAACAAAATAGTTGACAGATGCTTTCAATGTCACAACGAAGTGAAATGGAACATTGCTGAGCAGAGCGAATCAATGGGCAATGTAGCGGAGCAGAGTGGAGCACAGCTCGTCCACTCCCCTTCCTACAGCTAAGACTCCCATCAAAAGTATCCTTTCACAGACATTGTAAAGTTACAAACATCTCAAACTGAATTTTAAGTAAAGTAGTCAGGAAAATATAATTAAATATTAAATTAGAGTCTTCAATCTTCTTCTTAAATCTTTAAATTTTTTTTTTCATTCGCGAAAGCTATGTTATTATCTCGAGAACTTCGTTTGAACGCGAAAAATTTTCAAAATTAAAAAAAGACATTTTTTGGCGTTTTAAATGCATAGATGATGTCCAAATGTAAAAGTTTATGTACAGAAAAATCCAGCCTCCTATTACACACATTTTGGTACCCTTTGAAATTTTTGAAAATGAGTCTTTCAGGCTGTATTAAAAAAAGTGAGTTTTTCGTGAAACTAACGCTTTTGCGTGGAAGTAAACATATCTAGGTATTATAAATGATGAAGAATGCTAATATAGATATAAAATCGATATTTTTTTTGAAAATAGCCTACTTTGATCAAAACCAAAATTGCTTTAAATTGCATTTTAAAACATATCTAGGTATTATAAATGATAAAAAATGCTAATAAAGATATAAAATCGATATTTTTTTTGAAAATAGCCTACTTTGATCAAAACCAAAATTGCTTTAAATTGCATTTTAAAACATATCTAGGTATTATAAATGATAAAAAATGCTAATAAAGATATAAAATCGATATTTTTTTTGAAAATAGCCTACTTTGATCAAAACCAAAATTGCTTTAAATTGCATTTTAAAACATATCTTGGTATTATAAATCATAAAGAATGCTAATGTAGATATGAAATCGATATTTTTTTTGAAAATAGCTTACTATGATCAAAACCAAAAATGCTTTAAATTGCATTTTAAAACATATCTAGGTATTACAAATGATTAAGAATGCTAATATACATATAAAATCGATATTTTTTTTGAAAATAGCCTCCTATTATCAAAATCAAAAATGCTTTAAATTAAAATTTTAAAACATGTCTAGGTATTAAAAATGATAAAGAATGCTAATATAGATATAAAATCGATATTTTTTTTTTGAAAAAAGCCTACTATGATCGAAATCAAAAATGCTTTAAATTGAATTTTAAAACATATCTAGGTATTATAAATGATAAAGAATGCTAATATAGATATAAAATCGATATTTTTTTTGAAAAGGGCCTACTATGATCGAAACCAAAAATGCTTTAAATTGCATTTTAAAACATATCTAGGTATTATAAATGATGAAGAATGCTAATATAGATATAAAATCGATATTTTTTTTTAAAGTAGCCTACTATGATCGAAACCAAAAATGCTTTAAATTGCATTTTAAAACATATCTAGGTATTATAAATGATTAAGAATGTTAATATAGATATAAAATCGATATTTTTTTTTTTTGAAAATAGGCTACTATGATCAAAACTAAAAATGCTTTAAATTGCATTTTAAAACATATCTAGGTATTATAAATGATATAGAATGCTAATATAGATATAAAATCGATATTTTTTTTGAAAAAAGTCTACTATGATCAAAATCAAAAATGCTTTAAATTGCATTTTAAAACATATCTAGGTATTATAAATGATGAAGAATGCTAATATAGATATAAAATCGATATTTTTTTTAAAGTAGCCTCCTATGATCAAAACCAAAAATGCTTTAAATTGCATTATTATAAATGATAAAGAATGCTAATATAGATATATAATTGATATTTTTTTGAAAATAGCCTACTATGATCACAATCAAAAATGCTTTAAATTGCAATTTAAAACATATCTAGGTATTATAAATGATAAAGAATGCTAATATAGATATAAAATCGATATTTTTTTTTAAAGGGCCTACGATGATCAAAACCAAAAATGCTTTAAATTGCATTTTAAAACATTTCTAGGTATTATAAACGATATAGAATGCTAATATAGATATAAAATCGATATTTTTTTTGAAAATAGCCTACTATGATCGAAACCAAAAATGCTCTAAATTGAATTTTAAAACATATCTAGGTATTATAAATGGTGAAGAATGCTAATATAGATATAAAATCGATATTTTTTTTGAAAATAGCCTACTATGATCGAAATCAAAAATGCTTTAAATTGAATTTTAAAACATATCTAGGTATTATAAATGATAAAGAATGCTAATATAGATATAAAATCGATATTTTTTTGAAAAAAGCCTACTATGATCGAAGCCAAAAATGCTTTATATTGAATTCTAAAACATATCTAGGTATTACACATGATAAAAAATGCTAATGTAGATATAAAATCGATATTTTTTTTGAAAAGGGCCTACTATGATCGAAACCAAAAATGCTTTAAATTGCATTTTAAAACATTTCTAGGTATTATAAATGATAAAGAATGCTAATATAGATATAAAATCAATATTTTTTTTGAAAATAGCCTAC